TGGACATGTTTGGGATTCTGAATTGTTTCAAGGACTGGAATAAGAATTTTAAAAGTAATTTCATGGGATTTTAAAATCTCTAATTGCATAATTTAATCCATAGTGCAAATAAAGATGATATTAAATCTTGAAGGATCGCACGAGGGTGATCTTGTTCACTAGTAGTATAGTGAATGATACTAGTAGAGTTGGTATGGATCAATCTACGTACAGTTAAATTTTCGTATCATCTCTCAGAGAATTATTTAAGAAGTACTCTTCTAGAGGATGGGAATTTGATGAAGTTCTTATCAGAACGAAGACGTGATTTTATATCACATTCCGAAGAGTATGGGGATTAGGTTGTGACGTTCTAGGTTGCTTGATAAAGCCATGTTAGACGATTTGTATTATGCTTACAAGGAGAATGAGGGTTAAGCCCTTTGGTATTTGCTTAAGCGAACGAATGTTGCTTTTAAGCTATGTTGAACGAATAGGTTTCGAGGTTGGATGATTACCTACAAAACTATAAAAGGAGATTTTGTGAAATAATTTATGCAAGTTGAGTTCAAATGAGGTTTTCTTATCTAGAATGGACAATAGCTGAAGTAGAATTTTTTTTTTTTTTTTTTTTATTGTGTGTGTGATACGTGTTTCATTTTTCGTTAGTTATTCAGGATTTGGAGTATGGTTTAGTTGGGGACACAAGTATGTGATCAGCCAACTATGGTTTTAATAACATGGAGAAATAGCGCTATGTGCGCTAGGATTATGGACATATGGTCATAGGATTTGGTAGAAATACATAATTCTAGCCAATCTATTAGACTTAGACATGCATCAATATGGTATGTTATTTAGGATGGGATAGTTAAACTATCAATACGAGTCAAATAATCTAAAATGATTGGTTTGATATGCTCTATGCTAAGAAGGGATTCGTTTTTACAACGCCCTAATAATGGTGGATATAAAGTGGCAGTATTCATGAGGTTGCGGTAGATAAAGATTACTGTAATGCCACTATGGTTCAGATGGAGGATTTCACGCTGGTAGGTACTTAGTAGAATGACGCCGAGAGAGATTAGTAGACTGATTAAATCTTCATTAGTCTATTCGTAACCAGGACATTAGGCATAAGGGTGTCATTTGGAGGGGTTGCTAGTGTTGCACTTGGAGGAGGAACCAAAGTTTATACACTGTATAAAATGTGAAAAAAAAAAAAAAAAAAAAAATTAGGGTCATAATTCGCAACAATTAGCTGTTGCTATGACATTGATGACTATATGGAGGATAGAAAAGTTCCATAATTGTTTGAAGCGAGACAAGGAGTCAAATTGACACTTACTTATATTAAAGAAATAGGGTGTCTCAAGGACAAGAAGGAGAGACCGAATGCCTATATAAGGAAGCGGTGCACGATGTGTGTGAAAAAGTCATTATGAGTTGACTTTTGATGAATGAAATTACCGGTTGATTTTATTATCGGTAAGTTTATCACTAACTGATGATGCATAGATTCAGTTGCAGGATTAGCTTTTGACGATGCTCCAATTTAAACAATGGGTGCAGACGAAAGCTAGTGGTATCAGACTAGTTGATACTTTCTGTAGACAAATGAGAAGAAGGATGTAAGGACTGAAGTTCACAACTCTTAGTTCTTTATTCATCCTAGTGGAAACAGGCAGCTTCATGATATGAATCTAGTGTTGGGAGGATAGGCAAGAGGAGGGACATAATGATTTGGTATCCCAGTCTAATATTTATTAGATAATCGGGATGGACCATCAGAGATCACTAGATCCTTACAGTCATTTTCTATACTGAGGTAGAAATGATAAAGCCTTTTCACGAATTTAGTTGAGGGGTTGCTGACTTTTTAAAAAGGGTCAAGATTTTGGTTGGGATGTTGATTAGTTTCTATACTTTCTGGTTTATTTCGAACTGGTGGGACATCAGTTCATATAAATAGAAGGGATTACAAGATGACTTAGATGCATCAAAGTGGTGATTCACACTTTGCATTAAGTTCTGTCTGGTGGAAGGGAATAGGGAAGTGGACGCTCTCAACAACCGATAGGATATTCATATCTTTCGATTCGTTGTTAAGTTCACAGTTGAAGTTTTAGCCTGTATAATAACGACACTGGCTGTTATCACGGAAATTAAGGAAGTCAACTGCAAATATTGGGGTTGATCTTCGTGAAGGTGTTACTCTACTCAACTAGAGCTTAAGGTACTGACGGAGGATTAGTAGTTTTTGTTAGTGTTGTCAGAATGAATGCGATTTAAAATCGGTACTTCTTCTCCATGCACTCGGACGATTATAAGGTACATCAGGACATCGAATGTCTGGTCAAGTGAACCAGATGATGTAGGACATGTTTAATTTGTCTATCTGGATAGGTTGGTTTTAAATTAATGTTATACGTATGATGTGCATGTTGGGACTATATGTGATTTAGTTCTTCGTTAAGTTAAAATCGATTTATGGTAGAATTAAGGCATGGTTGATTTGCCAAAGTATAACTAAATATACTTAAGGTGGCAAGGTTGATTTGCCAAAGACATGGTTGAATTGTCGGCATGGTTGATTTGCCAAAGTATAACTAAATATACTTACGGTGGCATGGTTGATTTGCCAAAAACATGGTTGAATTGTCGGCATGGTTGATTTGCCACAGTATACCTAAATATACATAAGGAAGCATGGTTGATTTGCCACAGTATAACTAACTATACTTAAGGAGGCATGGTTGAGTTGCCAAGATATGAATAAATATATTTGTACTGACAGGGTAGAATTATTAAATTTCGGAACCTTGTTTATGGTTAGATGCATTGGAATTCGGTGGCGCCTATACACAGAGGCTAAGTCCACACGAGAATGGAAATGAATTTTAAAAGCAAATAATTCAAAATTTCGTGAATTCCGAGGACGGAATTCCTTTTGTTAGGGGGGGGAAGAATGTAATACCTCTAATTTTAAAAAGGATTTAATTGGAATTTAGTTATTGTATTTGATGTGCTTATGTGGATATGTGTTTTTGTTGAATTGATTAATTGTTTTATTTACGTGGATTAGTTATTTAATTGATTATTATGTTTGCCTGATTAAATTGCATTAATTAACTAATTGTTATTATATTGAATTATTTGTTTAATTGGATATTTAATTGTATTTTTATTTTCTTTAATTGAATTAAATTAGTTTTAATTATTTAAATGGTTGGTTAGTTTATTTAAGTTAGTTAATTAGATTTAATTATTAGTGTTTTTAATTATAATGTTAAAATAGGGTTTTAGTCTTTTATATCTCACGCCAACTGGACTAAAAGTTAATTAGGTTTTCCATCTCTGATTAGAATTGGACCTAGGGTTTTATTAATGCCTATAAATACACTGTTATACGTCTTCAAAAGGGTTGGGAAAACCCTATGCACGTACAATGTTATATAAAGGAACAGAGAAAGAAACTGAGGGAAACTGAGAAGAAGGAAAGCTAGGTTCAAGCCAGAGGGCTGAACCAAGGAGGAGGAGGAACAGGGGCTGGCTAGTAGGTTAAACCAAGTGTGGCAGAGGAGGTTCAATGGCAACTAAGGTCGCCGAAAAATCAAGGAAGAAGACGATTAAAGGTTTCACACCGAAACCTTAAAAGGCAAGTTCTATTCTGTCTCTCTCCCCTTGACCTGTGTTCTGTGCATACATAGATGGTCTCTAGGATGTTAATTAAATATTAATTGAGTTTTTGCATGCGTATTATATGTCAAATTAATCATCTGTATATGTTTAATTTTTTGTCTGAAATAATTCTTGCAAGTTTGGAAGTTCGTCGTCTGTTTTTACGGCATAACAAATTGATATTGTTTTAATCGTTGTATGAGTTCTAACTGTTGTAAAAAAATCATTGGGATGCTACTGGATATATATTAGTCTGTTAGAACCAGTTTTAAGGAGGAACAGAAGGGTAGGAAAAGGCCGGAGATAAGGCAGATGATCAGAAATAGAGCAGGAAGCGGACCAGTAGGCTCAAAGAGGGAGAGAGCCGGCTTTAGGAGGTTAGGAGCCGGATCCCCCCTTCATAGAGCCGGCTCCAAGGGCTAAGGGGCCAACTCCATGATGCTTGGAGCCTGCTCTGTTGTTTAGAGAGCAGGCTCCCTTGTTTTCCTTTGTTTTGACGATTTCCGGAACAGTTTTGGGCACTGTTTTGGACGTGTTTGTGATTCTGAATTGTTTCAAGGACTAGAGTGAGAATTTTAAAAGAAATTTCATGGCATTTTAAAATCTTTAATTGCATAATTTGATCCGTAGTGCAAATAGAATAAACAGTATAAAAATAAGCAACTTTGCACGCTACTAACGGATAGGAATGACTGAATTGTTTAATCTTGTTTTAAAATGTTAATGGATTGTAGCATGGACTCTAAACATGATATTATGCTTCAATTGAACCCATAGGGCATAATTTATCTCTATATGCTAAGGGTTTTCACCGTGTGGAAGTTTTAAGCAATGTCGCACACGGTTGACGGTTGTAAAGTATTTAGTTGTTTACATTTATTTTAGCAACCTAAATAGCTAGAGTATGATTTCTAAAGTTGTTTTGGATGCATAATATAGTCTAATACATTTTAGATTCTGTTATGTTTGTCCTGGATTTAATTGAAGAATTAATTACATATTTTCTGTCAATTACATGAATGTTGGTTTGGTTTTTAATTGAAGAATTAGTAAATTATATTCTCTCAATTACATAAATGTATACTAGATTTTGAATTGATGAGCTATTAAATCTTGTCTCGTCAATTACATGGATGGATTCTGGATTTTAAATTGACGAACGATTAAACTTTGTCTCGTCAATTTCATGGATATTATTATGGATTTTTAGTTGATGAACTGTTTAAATTCTGTTTTTATTAACTATATGGATTGATATAGGAGAGGACGGTAATGTTTTTAGTTGACCTCGGGCTTAGGTAAGGACCCGGTTAGCCATTCGGACCCTCGGGTTTGGGTCGTTACAGCTCCTTCCCAGCATTGCTGTCCTTGGCTTCCGCTTCTAGTAGTAGTGCTCTTTCCACTGCCTTCGAATAAACTTTCATGTACTGTGCCGTTATCAACAGCCTTATTTTGTAATCGAGACCGGAAATAAACTTCCAAGTCTTGTCAACTTCATTGCTCACCATCTCTGGAGCAAAGCGAGAGAGTGAGGTGAATTTGTTCTCGTACTCCATCATTGACATATTGCCTTGGATAAGGCCATTAAACTGGTCCCTTAGCTCCCATCTCTTGGTGACCAGAAAATACTTCTCGTAGAACAGCTCTTTAAACTTCTCCCAACTCATCTCCTCCACTTTGTACTGGTTGGTGAATGACTTCCACCAAAGCTTGGCATCCTTAGAAAACTTGTAAGTGGCTAGGACGATTTTCACATAATCATCCGTCACATCCATAAAAGTCAAATGAGTTTCTACTTGATCTATGTAGTCGTCTACTACCATTAGATCTGCACCTCCCTCAAACATCATCGGCATCAACTTAGAAAACCCTGAAATCAACTTGAGACATTTTTGTGATGGCGTCTCCTCAACTTGAACTACTGGTTGTGGTATTGGTTGCGGTACCAGTTGCGAAAAAGTAGCAATCGTAGCCCTTAAGGCACTCTGTAGCAAACGGTTCAGTACCAGCTCAACTGAGCCTTCACCCTCTTCAATGGGTGTTTCAACGTTTTCCCTTCTAGTGGAAACACCTCTTAGGGTAATCAAATCCCTAAGAAGTGTATCATCTTCAACCTGCTCCGCTGGATTGGAGCTAGAGCTCTCACCAACATCACCCATTGTCGACATAGGGCCAACTTCCCTTGGTTCCTTACGCGGTGGTATCGTGCTATAAAACAAGGAAACGATTCAATAACATACACTAAGGTCCACCGTGGATGACTCAACATGAAATGATGTCGTACTAACACTTAGCATGCAAAACTATGCAAGAAACACTTTAGCATAAATATGTAAACACATAAACAAATAAGCAGTTAAGCATGCTTCTGCAAATAATAAAACACGTAGCAAATAATTTGCATAACAATACAAACAACTTCCCATGCAACTCCAAGTAGGCCTCTACCCATCGTCCTAAAGGTTTTCGAACCATCGCTCTGATACCAAATTTGTAACGACTCGAACCCGGGGGTTCGAACCACTAACCGGGTCCTTACCCGAACCCGAGGTCAACTAGATCATACCATCTAATTCATGTGTCCACATCTATCATACGAGTCAATCCAGGGTTCCAAAACATCCCAAGATACAACCTTGCAGAGAGTGTCAAATAATACAAGTCAAAAGGGAGGGATCAGCCGGCTGATGGCCCCTGACCGGCCGGCTGACAGGACTGGTTCGGTCGGCTGACCAACAGAGTCGGCCGGCTAAAACGATTGCACAAAATGCATGCTCTTGGGACTTTGCTACAGTAAGAGTGTCGGTCAGCTGGTGGAGAGGTTCGGTCTACCGAACCTGAGGTTTCGGTCGGCTGATGGTGAGGTTCAGCCGGCCGAAACAAGGTTTCTCAAACTTAAACTCACTGGAATGCTTTCTAGATGTGCTTCAGACATGCTAAACCTATGTTGAACCTGTTATGGAATAAAGTTCCGAATTCACAGCAACAAAGCATGACATTAATCAATTGAAAGGTATCCATAATTGTTCAAAACATAATTTCTTTTCTCATTCATGGTCAAGTGTTCACATAGTCTCAAGTTGTATCCAATTACCCATAAAAGTTATAGTTACATTACATGGCCATAGTTTCCAAAACGAATACACTTTACAAGAGTTTGAGACTTTACAAAAGAATGGCAGTTACACAAAAGGTGTCAAAAGTGGATTCATATTCTTCCTTAAGCTTGTGGAGGATTGTCATCCGCCACTTCTTTCCCGAGCCCTAAAAAATGTTAAATGATAGGGTGAGCATAAAGCTTAGTAGGTGGCGCCTAAGACACACCTCTTGTGACCCCGTGAATCCAAACAATGAATAGGACAATAGGAATCGGGATCATGCTAAGCCGGGGAATATACAATATCAATTCCAAGTTCAAAACAAGCAAATGTCATGCCATGTATGTCACCCCCTATTTTCAAAAATCATCCATCGTTTCACAAACTGTTAATATAACCCGTCCTTTGGTGACTCCGCAGCGACACGAAAGAATGGTTGGCTACTGCCCTTGACCCTTGGTACCCTCGCGGCGTCATTTGGAGCCCAGCTAGCTCAACCACGCTAGGGTGATTTCCCTAGTTCCCTCTAGGTTATATTTACACCACGGCCCTTTGGTAACTCCGCGACGACCGGGTTTTCTCAAAATGTTTTACCAAAATTCTCCCCAAAATCCCTTTTTTTTCATCCTTTTTAAATCATTTTACACTTTTTCATGCCCAATGTTTTGAATTCATATCACATGCCTTTTCAATACTATGAGAATAGGGAAAATTAATATTACACATTTAACATGCTTCCTTATAACAATTTCTAACAAGTTAATAAGCATCATAGGTATGAAAATTTGACACTTAAGCATGTTCTTCATATAAGTCAATTAATATACATAATCATGTTATTCATACACAACATATACATCATTTAAAAAGGCAATCAACTCAAATTAAACATATTTGATAACAATTATTGAAGAACAACTCACAAAGGAATAAGAAATTGGGAATTAGAGACTCTTACCTCAAGAAGTGCAAAACCCCCCAAATTTGTGCCATAAATCTCGAATCCCCTAAAGTGGACCAAACAAGGAATTACTCCGATCAATTCGTAGATCTCATCATGATTTTCAATATGCGGCAAACGGCTCTCAAAAATACCAAAAGATGAAGGAGAAATCAAGTTTTAAAGCTTTTGAAATAAAAAGGAAAAAGAAAAAGAAATTTGAGAAGGGAAGAGTGAGACTTGCGGGAAGAGAGAGAGAGAGGAAAAGAAAATGAGGCCAAAATGCCTCTAACCCTATCTTAAAACATTAATGTGGGTCCCACCCCTTTTTCTTTTATTTTCTTTTTTTAAAATAAAAAAAAATACTCAAATATATATATATATATATATATATATATATATATGCAACTATATAAAACCCAAATAAAGCACATTAAATAAAATGCATGGGATGCAAATGGACCCAACTAAAATCCCCGTATGCAACAATTCCAGTAGCGGGTTCCACACGGGACCGTCCGGCCCGAAAAACAGAAAAATACAGAAATGACCAACCTTGCATTTCAAAGAGTCCTAAACTCACTGAAATGCCCCAATCAACTCTCAAACACAACCGACACACTACACAGTGTCCGGTACGCAAATTAGCAAAAGACGAAAATGCCCTTGCAACGACAAATTTCTGAAAAAATAGATAATAGGGAAAAATGGAAACATCACACGATGCACTAAGAATTAGCTATCATGAGTTGTCTATAATTCATTCCTTAATCATCAATTGATAATATCCTAACATTTTAGCCAGTAAATGCTCTTCTAGCAACCCAATTTCTTATTACTCGATCTTCAATCTCCAAGCAATACAAATGTTAAAATTGAAAAAAAAAAAAAAAAAAAAAAAAAAAAAAAAATTAAATACAAGCATATAAATGAAATATAGCATAATTAGGAGAATAATTGGCTACAAAATATCTTAAAATAGTAATCAATCAATATCAAGGGGTTGTTTGGCTGGGCTTTCTGTGGCCTCAAAACGAGCTTCTAAGCCTAGAAAGTCATTTACTAATAATAAAGAGTGTTTGGTAAAATTTATGAAAACAGACTTTTAAAAAGTCTAAATGGTTTAGAAGCCCGATTGAGAAAAGCAAATAAAACATACTTCCTAATCGACTTCCCGCAAGGAACACACTTTTTTAAGTAATAAATATAAAATTCCTATATTGTCCATTATTTAACCTATTCTCATTTATGAATTTAATTGTAAACTTTTATCTTTCTATTTCTGTATCATCTTCTTCCTTCGTTCTCTACCCAAAATATAAAAAAATAATGCTAAGCAAAATTTCACAAAACTTTATTGAAAAAAATATTGTTGAAAAACGATTCAACAAAGGAAAAACAAAAAGATTGAGAAGTTGCAGGAAAATAAACTATTGAATCTATTTGACTTTAAAGCTTGAAGAGTTTCAAGATTTATGAACTTTCATCCAAAATTCAATCTTATGTAAAATTCTAAATATTTTTTCTTTCTCTCAAAAAAAAAAAATATATATATATATATATATATACACACACACAATATATATGTATATATAATTTTTTTTTTCTTTTTTGAAGGCTACCCGTTTTGTTATTAAAGTGATTTATGGTTATAAATAAAAATAAAAATGGGATTTTTTTGCTGCCATCTCTCTCTTTCGTTTTATTTATTTATTTATTTATTTATTTGTCCATCTCTTTCAACTTCTATCATATAGTCAAGAAAAAAAAATTTAATCACGTAGATTGCACTATGCCAATTAATCGTTGTTACATTGTTAGCAATTTCACTCCATCACTTTAATTATGATTTTTTTTTCCCCCTTCTTTTTTTTTTTTTTAAGGGTAAGCTTGTATTGATGATATAAAAATTACATGGAGCCCCCAATAGGGAGGGGAAAACAAAATAACATAAAGGCCGAGGCCATTTACAGACAATAAGACAACAATAGGTTCAAGGCCCTCTACAATACATAGCAACCATTGAAACATGGCAAAAATCAAGTGTTGTTGCTTGTGAACAAGTAAGAAGTCACTGATATCTTCCAATCACAGCTTATTGTACCCTCCATTACCTCAAAAATCAGTGAATCAGCTTTAAGTAATCAACCAAGAATGCCCATAGGTTGCTCCACAGGCTTGTGTAAACAAGTTATGAAGTTCAACCTCAGCTGAAATCCCCCTTAGATCAGCACAAGATTTTAACTTAATTGCTGCAAGTTTAGCTCGGACACAAGATTTAACTTGGGAGAAAATGTGATTAGGGCTGGTGTATGTATTTCTGAATGCTCTTCCATTTCTCTCCAACCAGAGATAGTAGATTGCTACAGACAACAAAAGTTTGTGTACCAGAAATCTTCTAGAGGACCAATGCGTTGAGCACCAGTTGATTAGTTCATTCCAGCAGCTGGGTAAAATATAGAATCCTGCAACCTCTTTTATAACATTCCAGACATGTGAACTGAAACTACATCTGAAGAACAAATGATCAAGTGATTCATTCTCAGCCAAACAAAGATAACACCTATTAATATAATGCTTATGAAGCATAGGCTTTGAATCCAAAGTATATAGTCTTCCTCTAACTGCAAGCCAGACAATGCAACTGTGTTTAGGAATGTGGTGTTTGCACCAAATTAAGTTGTGCCAAATAAAGGATGGGGAAGGAGGGGCAAAGCGAGCAATAGCTTGGAAGAATGAGTAAGCACCAGAAGAACTAGGCAACCATTGAATACAATCCAATGGCTCTGAGGGAGGTTGTAAAAAGTACAACTGAAAGAAGAAGTTTACAGACTGAAAAAATTGAGGGTAAGCTAGAGAAGGGATCATCCAATGTCCATTGGAAATTAGGCTATCAATTGTGGCTGAAGAGTCCAGTTGAAGAATTTCCAACCTTTGTACATTCCAATTCAACTCTTTACTATTATTCATAATTTATTAAGGATATAATTGTCAAGTGAAATTATGTTAATTGTTAAAAGAGCTTTAAAAAAATTACCCTCCAAACAACTTTTTTTGTTTTAAATTCTTTTCATCAAAATGCATTTTTCAAAGCCAATTCAGTGAAAGGAATTTTAGAAAC